AGAATGGTCCAGACTGTGAAGAATCTACTGAAGAAAGCAGGCGACGCTGGGGAGGACCCCTACATTGCATTATTAAACTATCGCACCACACCGGTCGACAACAAGTTACAAGCGCCTGCGAGACTGCTCAACCAGAGGGAATACAGAACCCAGTTGCCATCCAGTGGACGAATCCAAAGAATGAAAAGCAACGACGACGATTTACTCCAACTGCAAAAGCGACAGGAAATACAGCGTCAAAACTATGCACAGAACAGAAGAGAGTTAGGCGGCTTGTCAACAGGGCAACCTGTCGCCGTCTACAATCCATCGTCAAAGACTTGGACCACGGCTGAGGTCAAAGAGAAATTAGATGAACCGCGGTCATACACTGTGAAGACCTCGAATGGGTCAGAGTTAAGACGGAATCGTATCCACATAAAGCCCATACCAACCATACCAGAGAAACAGCCAGCGCAGGAGTACATCCAGCCACAACCTCCTGTTTCTCAAACAACTGTTGACACTACAGACAGGTCTACTACTATTAAAGAAGCAGGGACCACAGTTACAGCGACTAGGAGCGGGCGGATTGTCAAGCCTCCTACCAAGCTGAGCTTGTTTGTTGGCTCACAACCTTTGAACTGTTGAACTTGTTATTGAACTTAGTRGTCAAAAGTTTACTACTAACTCATGTTTACATTACTTTATTGTTTTAGTATGTCAGGCCCGGTTCATACGTCGAGCCAGCGTCGCGCCGAACCAAATAGATTGAATTTAGCACATGAACAGCTCGACGTATGAATCAATTGAGTTCGGCACGACAGAATTAAGTTCGGCACGACAGCTGGCACGGCCGTGCTAGTCGTGCTGCACAGCAAAAGTTTGGCATTGATTCATACGTCGAGCCAGCGTCGCGCCGAACCTAATGCATACATTATATTTTAGCCGAAAATTCAGCGGTAAATCGTATTGAAAATGCGCAGTACCCATCTTAGTACCCAGGTGTACTCTGCATTGAGACAAAATGGCGGCGGGCGAAGTGTGTATGTCTTGTTTCGATGTAACAAAATACGAATGTTTATCATGCACTTTGCCTATATGCTGCAAATGTTGCAACATGGAGAGTGACGAGGACAACCCTGGGTGGAAGATGGGGACTTCTGTGGGCTATTGCGACCCATGCAACAATGAAAGGTGTTATAAATAAGCTTACTCGATTTTCTTTATGCGCAATTACTTGTACACGAGTGTTTTAGGTATACATTAAAATATGATGCTTATTGTTGTGTGAAAGTTCATTATCACAACTATAAGATATTGCATTAATGAAGTATGTTTACATATTCTCAAGTCTTCAAACTGGTAATGCTTCATTATTGTGTGAAAATTCATGATCACAACAAAGTGTTGCATAAGACTGGTACACATTAAAACATGATGCTTTCTCAAGTCTTCTAACTGGTAATGCTTCATTGTTGTGTGAAAATTCATGATCACAACAAAATGTTGCATAAGACTGGTACACATTTGCAAGGGTCAACCGATGTAATATTGTTATCAAAGTAAGTTTCTTGAATTGCATTCATTTGCATATAATAATTACATAACTAAACTGTGCAAAAACAACAAGTGGCCATTTCATTACACATGCACTATACGCTTGAGCTACCTTGCTCATAGCACTGTTGTGCAGCTCGTTCTTGGTCCAAATGTTTACACTAATTTAAGAGCAACTTTGTGCAAAAAATCAGACATATCTTGGCAAGGCTCGAAAAATCAAATCTATTTATATTTTGTATTTAGATAAGGTATGATTAGGTAACAATTGCTGTGTGACCCTTTAGTGATTTAACAGATCTGTATTTGTGTATATTCAATACGAGTCTTAAATACAGAAACAAAAATAATTTATTGGTACATTGTAAGAATTTACAATAAACAAAGTATACCACTGATGATTTATTAATAGAAATAATTTGACATTTCAAACATCACAAAGTAAGACAAAAAATAAAAGACAAAAGAGTAATCTGAAAAAAATACAAAAGGATATTTGGATGATACATATGAAATACTACCCTGGTTCCAGAGGATTGTTTTTAATTCTTGCTTTGCGGCTTGACAACATTTTAAGCAAAAAAATAAAAAGCAGCCCTCTGGAGACAGGGTAATGAAAAACTTATTGAAGAATTCTGCATAGCTTCATGTTTATCCTGAAATATTAACAAAAATGGATTTAAGACAACAATATCATAAGTGAAGATATGAACAAATAGCGATCATTATTTTGAACCATTACGTTACATTTTCATATATTCATTACAACTGGTAGAATTGGTCCATAACAATGATATACTTAACAGCACATATTCGATAAATCAAGTGGAGCAACCAAAGGAAAACCATGAAATAATATCAGACTAAATACTAACATGTAGAAGCTATTTAGAGACAATTTGTCGGTATGAATGAACCAGAACAAAATGAAGATGAATCCACATGGGCCATCTTTAATTCATCTTTATTGC